TGGGAGTGTATTACAGGCGGTGGAGATGAGTGCTGCGAAGTGGGGAACGTCACCCCGTAAATGTACGTGTTATTTTGACAAGGTTGGTTCTAGCCCTTACTCCTCCTTTTAAGCACATCCCTATAAAGTTCTTAATAAAAGTGTGCAAAACATGGCTTAGCTGCCTAAAACAAACTAAATCCCAAGCCCATATAATTCGTTGTTTAGAGTATTTAACAAAGCAGACAAGCACTAACCTCCTCCTCAAAAATGTGGCTTCAACATTCAGCTACTTTATCACACACAAAGATTTCTACTGAGAGCATGTCCTCAGTACATTTCATGTAAGTGATCGCTATGTGACAGCGCCCATGATCAGCACAAGATGAAACTGAATCCTAAAACTCACAGGTTTTTGATGAACCTGGTTCCGTCCTGTTGTAAAGAATTCTTCCTGGGAAAGTTACTATGTGGTTTAACTATACATTCACCATAAATACTTCTTAAGTGGAGGATTAATCCCATCAGCAATGCCATTTAGATTTCTCCTGATGGGACACTGTCTCTGTCCATTCCCCTGCCTCCGCAAACACAGCCTGCCATCAAAAACGTGAGTATTTTGGGGTATGTCTCAAACCACTGCCCTTAGTCACACAAGCCCCTGCCTTTCTACATTTTACAAGCAGGGTTGCTCACGTTCGTGTGTCTGCAGTAATATATTCAAAAGGAAAATGAGCCTGTTACACCAGTATCATCCAAAAAGTCTGTATTTTCCAAGAGAACTTTTACCAGTAACATCATGACAGACCACTCCATAAAAACTACCCGAACAAGTGACATTTTTATTGGCGAGTTCTGCTAATGGATTTCCTTTTCCACGCTCGTATCTCCTAAGAGATCTGATTTAAAAAAAAACAAAACAAAACAAAAATTCAGGTAGCATTCCATTTGCAAACAATAAAGTTATTTAACATTTAAAAACAAAACAAAAGATAGCATTTTAAAATACAAATTCTAGGAAAACTCGTCCTGGTTCCCCCAGGAGCTGTTCCTCACCAGGCTGCCACCACCTCGGTTCCTCTTTGAGTCAGCGGGCTGGGTACCGAGGATCTCCCGTTTGGAGCTCAATTAAAAGGACAGGGGCATGTGCTCTTATTACCGTTGAAAGCCCTGTTGTACATTTTTCACAGGAAAACATAAAACAGTTTGCAGTAAACCAACCAGTACTTTTTCTTCCCTTATTCTAAAGCTAAGTCATACTGAAAGTTAGGGGGCAAAACCGTGGCTTCAACATTCAGCTACTTCATCACACACAAAGATTTCTACTAAGAGCATATCCAGGTTGAAATACACATCTGATTTCTGTCATGAGGGTAATGCTTATGGGGTGTGAGATGCAATCCACATCGAAATAATAAACACATCACTTCTTGATGAGCAAAGTATTATTTTTAACCTTTTGGACCAGCACTTAGTTGCTAGGCTGTTTCTCCTCAGTCTCGTCAGGAGAGACACTCTTCAGTGCTACCAGAAATAAAAAGATGACCAGTAGCAATCACACACCTTATCATCAGTTAGTAGGATGTATTTAGCACGTTTGTTTGCATTCTGAAAAACCATTAGTTTATTTTTTAGGGCCCAGAGGCTTTGTACACCAGAAATTACACGAGTCAACCACAGAAAATTGTAAATTGGTATCTGCAGCGATTTTGAGGTATTCCACAAGAAACCTGGCACTGCACCTGAATGTTCCTCTCAAACCAAAAAGAAAGAAAAAGAGCACAAAGCCCTAGCTGGAGTGGAAATTTCATTTAAAAGATTCCTTTTAATCCCCATGTTCCACCACATTTGATCAACAAGGACATACTTCCCCAGGGGCACAAAAAAAGCCACCTTCATCCTTTTCCTGGAATACTGATTTCAGTCCTTCATTCCTAAATTTCCATGTACAGCCAGAAGAGATTGAGAGAAAAGTGTTATTTTCTAGCCAAACCAGAGAAACACATTCAGACACTGTTTTTGGTTTATTTAATTTGTGAGGTGCTCTAAGAAGATACCAGTGATCCCCTTAATGTTGAAAATAGCAGCGGTTTATACTCTAACCTCCAGTCTGGGAGGAAGAGGCTGGGGAAAGGCCTGGACCGGAAAGATCTGGAAAGATCGGAAAGATCTGGACCTAGCTTTTCTGCTAGGGCTGAAGGGGGAAGGACAGCTTAATTCGTCAGGGAACTGCTGTTCTCCTCTGAGTAGTACATTCAGAACAATTCCCAATAAACCAGAGCTGTAGTGCTAGTTGCATATAATAAACTGCCTGCAACATTTTTATTGGTTCTGTTATTTTTCAGGAAAAGTGGAAAACCTTTACAATGACCTTAGAAGGAAATCATTTGCTACTTCTGTACTTGTAGAAAAAACCATAGGCAGTAATATTTTCTAAAGTGCTTCTTTACTCATCAGTTACTTCTTTAAAAACCAGACTTGTATGTTGTACCGGCATAGTTTCCTAGTAGTTCATGGACCAGTAGATAGTTTCTGATGTAAAAAACCCGTTAGATACTTTGTTTAAGCAAACAACAATTGCTTTGAGAAATGCACCGAAGTGAGTGATCCAAGTGCAAAACCCACCACTTCTTAAAACACGGCCTTATGCTGGTTTATTAATGCAACTTTACATCCTTTAAAAGTACTTTACTTCAATTCCAAGAGCAGGGATTAAATAATACAAATAAAAGTTGAAAATTCAATGAAGCTATTGCCTATTTACCCTGAAATAAAACAGTCTTATGATTCGAACTGGTGCAAAAATCCCTCCGAACACCTTTGTTTTATTGGCAAAGTCATTTAAGGTCACTTTTGCTTCCAAGACCATCTTCTTCCATGGTTTCCACTGAAGGAGTTTTGCTTTGTAATGGCTTGTGGTTCCACAGTGATTTGTAAATGAAAAACCTACTACGAATAACTCTACTGTAGTCACTAAATTACAGATACTGTCATGAGAAAGTCCAAAACTTACAGTGTTTTTTATTCAATTTTCAGCGAGACACAAAATTCCAGTCCAGTTAAAGTGTTTTCTTTGAAAGCCATTTTAAATGGCAATAAATGGCTGCTGTGCCTTCTGGATGGAGAACTTATCGCGATGCCCAATGTGCTTCTTACACGGTAGACGGATATTGTACTTCAAATGCACCCAAAGAAGGGTGTAGAAGGGCACAGCCCCCGCGGGCACAGCCGTTTGGATCAGCTACTCCTACGGATATAGTGCAGCAGGTTTGAATCTGCGTAGAGAACCGCAGCTGGGTGGCACGTAGCAAACGCTGGGGTTGTCTGTTCTCGGAAGGCATGACACAAAGCATCCCAGGCAGCAGGAGGCAGAAGCATCTGCAGTGGTGTTCCGATTCTGTCAAGTAGTAGTAGCTTCCATCAAAAGGTGGTGGTTACTGCTGGGACAGCAAAGCACTCCGGTTGGCTTTCATTTTTTCCAAGCGTTTTACTAGATGACCATTGCTGACTTCAAGCTCCTCGGTTTTATCCAGTGCTGAACGAAGCTGAAGGAAGGAAGCAGAAAAAGCCTCTTAACTTTCGCAGTGTTTTCCCTTTCCAAAGGTAAAGCAAGGTTTGGAGTTACCAACACTAACTGACCGTATCGCTGGGATTTCCTTACAAGATCAAGCAGCTGAAAATTCCTATTAGTAGAGTTAAAAGTAGATGATGTGTAACTACCCGTGCTGTTGCTTTGAAGGCCACACACACACAGGTATTTTCTAAGCATGGAGCCAAGATTCCAAGGTATTTACAAAACATTGAACAAATGGCTCAGAGATTGCCTCAACTTCAGAAGCATGGATGCTCAGTGATGATCTGCTGGGTGACATACGCCTGTCTCACTGCCTGGCTTTTATGTTTCTGGTTCCCAGAACTACAGCCAGAGCTGTGACTTTGGTGCCTTAGTTTTCCATAAAACCCACCAGAGGGTGGGGTAGGGAGAGAGGAGCGATATTTATAGGCAGCATTGCAGGAGGAGTACTGAGAAAAGGCAAAGAGCCACACTAAAAAACACACCTTCGGAGGCAGATGTGAAAGAAGCTGACAGACATTATTTAAGTTTGTTGAAGCAGCTACTTCGAGAGAACGTTAAGTTTGGTAAGACAAGTAAGGTCAAAATCATGGGCAGCTTGAAGATGCAGTGTTTTGGGACAGAGAAACATGAACGGAGTGTGGACAGACACTGCAATAACAGGCTGAACAGACTGACAGAGGAAGGAAAACGGGCTCCGTAAGAACAATGCGCATCCCTTCAGCACTCAAGTCCAGACTCTGAAGCTTTAAAGCTTAGACACTGGTAAGGTGTGGCACTGTGCTTAAATAATGACACCCTCAAATTAACCTTACAGCAGGATTTCCAACTTTCTACCGCTTTAATTTCTGAATCACATGTTCTAAAAAGACCAGTGACTTGTATTTACAAACCCAGAATTTTTAACATCCAAAGCAACGAGCCTGCAGGTGCAACAAAGGACGAGGACAAGTAGAAACAGGAACTCTTCAGCTTGATGAACATTGAACCACATGAATGTTCACAGCTGCAAAGGAGCACGCAAACCCGAGCATTTTAAGGCTGCTTGTAGATTAAAGTTGCACAAGAAGAACTTGAGTTTGCTCCAGAGAACCAACTCTGGTACAAAGCAAGGCATTACAAGTCAATTTAGGAAGGAATGGTTGTGACTACTACTCCAGTTTGAGTGCTGAAAGTTTCGTTAAATGTTTAGAAGGAATAACTAAAGCAATTAAAAAAGCAGACGTTTATTCTTTGCTCTGCCAAGAAGGGTAGTTCCTCTCCTAAAAGGCACCGGGCAGAGAGGTCTCTCCCCACGCGGTGCAGTTGGCTTTCCGGAGTTACCTCTCTCTGGAGTTTGCGTTTCTCTGCTTTCAGTTCATCTTCTACTCTTTCAGCGTTCTCAGCAGCAGTTTTGTAGCGGGCTACCTGACCTTCCAATCGTATCACCTAAAGCAAAGGTAAAGTTTTTGAATTAGAAGCTGTACCAGGAAGTTACTCTGAAGCTTTATTCTTCCACTAGTAGTTAAGCAACAACTAGAAAGATTGCTCAATTTTCTTTAATTAAGGCGTATTTCGCGGGAAAAAATTATACACCAAGGAAGCCTGGCCGTGGTAACTTAGAATCATAGAATGGTTAGGGTTGGAAGGGACCTCAAAGATCATCTAGTTCCAACCCCCCTGCCATGGGCAGGGACACCCTCCACTACACCACGTTGCTCAAAGCCTCATCCAACCTGCCCTTGAACACTTCCCGGGATGGGGCATCTACAGCTGCTCTGGGCAACCTGTTCCGCTGCCTCACCACCCTCACAGCGAAAAATTTCTTCCTTATATCCAATCTAAATCTCCCCTCTTTCAGTTTAAATCCATTGCCCCTTGTCCTATCACTACATGCCCTTGTAAAAAGCCCCTCTCCAGCTTTCCTGTAGGCCCCCTTTAGGTACTGGAAGGCTGCTATAAGATCACCCCAGAGCCTTCTCTTCTCCAGGCTGAACATCTCCAACTCTCTCAGCCTGTCTCCATAGCAGAGGTGCTCCAGCCCTCAGATCATCTTCGTGGCCTCCTCTGGACTCGCTCCAGCAGCTCCATGTCCTTCTTGTGCTGGGGACTCCAGAGCTGAACACAGTATTCCAGGTGGGGTCTCAGGAGAGCAGAGCAGAGGGGCAGAATCACTTCCCTGGACCTGCTGGCCACGCTGCTTTGGATGCAGCCCAGGACACGGTTGGCTTTCTGGGCTGCCAGCGCACATTAACTTACTCCAGACCTTTTAGACGTATCCATATTTAATATGCTTCCAGCAACAAAACATACTTGACTAAATTTATCTTAGCAAGAGTATTGCTGACGTACTCTGGACAAGAACAGTCAAAACCGAACAGCTTTGTATAAAATCCATATATGCTACATCATATTCCAGGATCCATTTAAAAACTGTCAATCGCTAGGCATGAGAAAGTGTTCTGGAGAGCTCAGTAAGTGCCCTCACTGTACCTTTGTCTTTGAACATTTTTCCTTTGGTAAAGATGAACAATGGATTCACTCTTCCCCATACATAAATGAAAGCATTTCAGTCTTTACGACTTGAGTAGCCTGACGCTCCAACACTCCTGCTTCTTATTTTAAGGGAAAATAATCACAGTGATCATGATTTCATTTATCACATAATAACATACACTTTCTCTTTGCATTCTCACCATGCCTAAACAAACAGAACACGTCAGAAACTTACATTCTGCTCCAACGCTGTTATCTCTTGCTCGGACTTTGCTAGTTTAAATTTGAGATCACTGATCTGTCTGTTGGCATCTCCTAAAAGAATTGCAGATTTATCAGAGATGTCAGAACGAGCGTTAATAGTGTCTAACAAGTCTGTCACAAAATGTCCATGCTACAGGAATCTACTTGGGGCCCCGGTAGCGTAGCAAGCGCTCCCTGACAAAAAAGCACCCAGCAGATAGGTGCTATTCCCAGTCTCCTGATCCCCTTCTGACCACTCTGAAGGCAGAATTAATCCGGAACTCACCCCAGCTCTCCTGGGGAACTGAAGGGAGATTTCCAATTGCAATCTTGCTCAAACAAAGGCTAATCGTTCCCTCACCCCAACAGAGGTGCATGGCTGGCTCCCAGTTTGAAGCTCCCTGAGAACTTGAAGGCTCGTTTTTACTGAGAGCCATGTGGTTATTGCACAGATACATTTTCTCGCTCACATGCAGGATGCAAAAGTTGTCTTAAAATCAAAACGTAGCTCACTTTGGAGGTCAATCATGTGCATATCTGTCCCGTTTTCTAGAACTTCATCTTCTGGCTGTCTATTTTCCATCTTGCCATTCTTTTGCTTTTCTTCCAGTTGGCCCTTTAATTTTTTAACCTGAAGGACACAAAATAAATAGTTATTAAATAATATAAATATAAATAAAATAAATATAAATAAAATAAATAGTTAGTTATTAAAATAAGGGAAAACTGTGGCTCAGTGCTCAAATTCACTTAAGTATTATAAACCAAAAAAAATTTTTTTTTTCAAACCTAAATTCCAAAAGATCTTTTGTTACAAAATAATTTCCTAGAAACTCTTATGGCAAATGACTCATCATATTTTAAGTATCAACGCTTATGCACAAGTTCAGGACCAAACATAATGAGTGGGAGATGACTGTTTTATTAAAAAAGCTGCGAGTTTTTTGCAGGCACATTCATGCGAAACATTCTTAAAAACCCAAAACCGTGTGTGGTTTTGTGAAGTCTCAAGGCCAAGAACATAATCCATAAACAAAAGCACAGAGCACCCTGCAGAGAAACAGATCAGCTAAATTTTTTTGAATAAGCTTTGTATCTGCTATGGAATATGACAGTACCAGCAATAATTACTTTAATTGCTATTTATCCATCTACTGCAAATCCTCCAGGACCTCTTTCTGAATGGCCCACTGCCCACAGACCTAGACATCAGGAAGACTTACTCTTAGAGATAAAATTTGCTTCTACAATTTCTGGACCATATTTGTTTTTCCCTTGGGCTTAGCCAACCTGAAGTATTATTTTTCCGAAATAATTTTCACGGAGGAGTTTTAGGTGACTGAGGACAGCAATCTGCGATGCTCTGAGCACCGAATGTGACTGGTTAGCAACACGGAACAGGCACACCGGGTCCTGTCTTTCTTCCCCTATATCCTGAGTTAACACACAGGAGAAAGGCTTCAGAGGAAGAATCAAGTGGCAAGCAACGCTGCAAGCCCTCAGCAAGAGCAACCCAGCGTATGTTCTGAAAGGCAACAGCGCTGCTGTCCTATACACCAGGGTATTTTTATTTTTTTTTTAATCTCTACTATCCTTATCAGAGACCTAGCAAACACACAGCATTTCAGTTTCCCTGTGATTACCTGGTCTAGTAAGGATTCTCGTTCATCAATGAGTTTTTTCAGCCTGTCTGAAAGAGAAAACTGAAAGTTCAGTGCCGATTTGATCGAGCCGCGCGTTTCAGAGCGCATCTGACACAAGACCGAACCGTTAAGGTTAGTGAAACTAATGATGAAGGTAGTTATGCACGTACCACAGGAAACGAGGCCACAGCCAGGGCTGGGAAGGGGCTACAGCCAGGGGAGGTTATGTCATTCCCACAGAACATGCTTGTCACGGCAGCAGCAGCACCCAGCTGCATGCAAAGAGGCTAATCTTCTACGTTAGGTTAGCATGCAAGAACTCTAGGGTCAAACACAACTGCAACACAAAAATCTCAACAGATCTTTACAGTTGAACATAATGAAAATACTGTAAACACCTATAATCATAGCTAGGCACATTCTCAAGCACTTTAAATCTTCACTTTTTCACTAAACAGCATGGCAATGACATTTTGTGTTATCTCCAGTATTGTGACCGAAAAAAAAACCCCACATTTGCCCATTAAGTTATTTTTGTTTCAAACACAGCAGTCTGGTAAAACATTCTTTTCTCTTTAATCCTTCTCAGTCAATTCGACTGGTCAAACATCAAGCAGGCGATGGGCAATCTCGACCAACTGTTGTGTTAGACTGGAACTTGGAAGTGCTACAGTTCAGCACCCAGATGTGTGTGGCATTGATTAATAATATGCACACTACACAGTGAGATAACTGGAAAAAAGAAATACAAGTCAGTAACCAAACCACCTGGTTTTTTTCTTCCCTATTAAGGGATGCAAAATGTGAAAGCATATTAGCAGGTACTCACGAATTTTTGTGTCACTAAAATTACTTCGCCTCATTAATTAAGAACCTTCGTTTGTTCAAGTACACCTCAACAGAAGTACACTGGAACATAGCATTCAGATATTTTTACTAGAAGAGGATATATTTGACCTCAGACAGGTCTTACTCCACAAGTTCAACACATGTTTATTGCAGTTTTATTTAGTTTGCCTCCTTTGCCAACAAGTGGTCACCTGTAGAACCAAGCCATTGGGTGTTCAGAGTTCAACTCCACAGCTGATGTCTGGCCTGTTAATTAAATGGTTAAAATCCAAAGGTCACTCAAGAAAAAGGACTTGTTGTAAATGTAAGGAAAGCAGTTGACAAATTGCAGATAAAAGGCTGGTGGGCTTTTATCAGGCAAATTCTGTTGATAGACTTAAGTATTCCTTAAAAGCTTTAAAAATATCAACACTGTAGTCCTCATTCATTGTGAAATTCTGAACAGACCAAAGTCTTGGTGTTCACCATTTTTTTTTTTTATTAACAAAGGGAATAAAGAGTCTACAGTGAATCAAATCATGGAGAAAACCAAGTCTTCCAATGAAAGTCCCTCTATGTGGCAGACAGGTCCAGTCCATTAGTGAGTAATAATGGGGTAAGTCATTCTCCTCCTGGGTGTTCCAGGTCCCATCTACCAGCAGTCATTCTAGAGCATGGAATAAAACCTTTACCTTGGCTTCTGATGCAATACCCAAATACAGATCTTAAAGTGCCATCCCCCTCAGCAGGCCTATGCATTCATTTTGAACCTCCTCCAGTTCTATCATTTTTTTTTTAGCCATTTGTAACACACTCAACAGTTACACCTAAGCATTAACATGGAAAAACAAAACCAAACCAAACCAACAAACTACGTTTTTGTAAACTATCAAGAGTGTCAAAAATTTACACGTATAAACCTCTTTGAAATAGTAAAACAATTTCACTATCTATATGGGAATGAAAGGAAGCTTAAGACAGATATACTGTAAAAGATAAAAGAAAGGGAAGAAAAATAAAAGTCAATGAAGAAAGCAAGGAGAGCAAATAGCAAAAGAAAGGTCAGAGATATTCAGACCTGGAGATGGGGTTGGGAGTCACAGGTCAACAGAGATCAAGAGATGAAGTTACTAAGAACTGGAAAGAGAACAAGGACTGATGCAGAAAGAAACCTCTAGGCCACTACAAAATTAGCCCAAACTTATTGACTCCAAAGGGGCCAAATAATCCACCTTGATCCTGAAAATAACTTAGTCATGCACACAGCTAAGTGAACTTTCATTAGCACGATGACTGCTGTGGGGTGAAATACGCCTGCCTGAAGAAAGGACGCCTCCTCCCGTTTCCACCAGTTTCCCCCAACCTCTTTCACTGCAAAATGAATGTCAGCATTCTGGGATGAGCCTTCAAATCTGATCTCACCATCAGTTGTCTCTTCTCTCATTACGGACATCTGTGCACCCCACTGGGACAGACGACATGCTGGCAGCAGGATTTACAAGACCACACAAAAAATTAGTTTGCTAAAATTGCCATTTATGTAGAAGAGTTTCCTGCACATATAGATGAAGGTTACTCGGGTTTCACTTGTCTTAAAACCCCACACTAACACAGAAAACTTCAGCTTGAACAGATATCTCTGCAGAGTTGCCTTATTTTTGCATTTAGGAGACAGTTTTCCAACAAATCAAGGATCTGAGGACTTTGAGAACAGGTGAGCAGAAAAGAGCCATCTACTGAATTAGGACATGAAGCAGCCAATTACAATTCTCACCGGTAACAGTCATTTTCATTATTTCACATGTGAAGATACTACCATGAATAATTAGTGTGGCATTCATCTCACTTACATTTAACTCTGGTAACATGATTCCCAGGCTACTCACTGCACTAATTCATGGATTTCATACACAAAAGGAGCTTAACAGAGGGCTGATGTCAGGAACTGGGCCCTGGGGAGGCTTGGGAGAGAGAAGGACAAGGAGGGGTGGTGGTTACCAGTGTCTTCTGCTGTTGTCCAGGTCTATTTGTAAGTCAAATGACTGTTCTTGTTACCCTGATTTTGCAGTTGACTCAAGGTATTGCTAACTAGGGCGCTGCTTCAGTGGCATAGTTGACTTCACATTCCCTCATCAGCCACAGATAATGTCTCTTTCTACTTGGAGGGGAGCAGAGGGTGGGAAGCAGGTGTTTTTAACCGGAACGGTTTGCATGATGTGTGGCCCTGCAAGTAATTAATACTGATGCAAATGAAAGGGGTAAACTGTACTTGAAGGTTGGGAAGGCATCCCATGAAACCACACCAGCAGTTCCAAGCAGCTCTTCAGAACAGTTTGCAAAATCCAACTGCCAGATCGATAGCAGGTTGGATAATACTCCTGCTCCAGATCTGTCAATTTATTTTGAATCATGAGAAAACAAACAACAAAATATTGAGGAATGCCTTTGTCTCTTTCCCAGAAGAGGGATACTGCTGGGGACAGGCTGTTGGGACAGTGAATAAGCACGGGATTTAGAAAACACCACCCTGCAATACTAACTTTGAGAGGGACTAGAGGACTCTTCCATAACAAAGGAAATATTGACCAAGGCCTTTCACTATTACTTGCTGAATAAGAAAGGGGAAAAAAAAGTTTCTTCAGCTCCTGCTTTTTGAAAGGATTTGAGGCTAGCTCTGAACTCGCAGTAATGCACAAACCTGGGCTGCAGGCTACATGTGAACAGAGAACCCAGCAAGCATGTGGAGCTCTGGGGCTACTGAGACATGAGTCTTGTACTCCACGAGTGGTGCAGACTGTCCCTGCTCAAAAACAAAACAGGTAACGTAACAGCAGCAAATATGAATCTGGATTTTAGTTCATCTTATGATGTCTTGGTTTCATGTTAGACCATAAAAAGACTGATTCGGATATTTTGCTGTCTTTGAAAGTCAAAACCAACGAAGAAAGAGACAAGCTAGATCTTTTCTTGTATCTGTTAGAAATGCCCAAACCAGTTTTCGACTGTGTAACTTTACAAAAGATGCGTTTTCTAGGTAGCTCCTCCTGAGACCCTGTCTCTTTTCCCTCTCTAATGGCACACGTTTCACTCAATGCTAGCTGGCATATAATATTTAAATTACTGAATTTTGAATAGATCATCTAACAGTTCCCTTTATCTTCAAGGTGATTTAACTGGGAGACCTCGCCCTCTCCTTCCATGTACATATGCTCTGCGAGTATAGCAGAGAGAAATCCTTAAATGTAAACACTGCTACATAATAAGAAGAGATACTGTTAAGATCTATGACTTTTTAGATTAGCATTTAGTGTAGACCCTTAAGAACAACTGCTAATACTTACAGAAACCATACTGGAACTGCTGTAAGTTGGAGAGAAGCCATATGAAAAGAGTTACAGGTTTACACTTCTGTTATAGGCTTACAGTTAAAGGTGCCATCACATAGTAAAGGTCCTCAAACACCAAGGCTGCCTGTTCCTACTATGACAGCTCTTCTAGCTATGTAGCACAGCACAATAAATCTAACAAAGCAAGCTGCAGAAAAATGTTTTTGAAGTTATATAAGTAAATATTTATGCAGGTTTATAAACAGGGCTCTGGACAGGCAATTTAAAGTATAAAATATGTTTATTTCAATTATATACAGCTCAGTACATTTTGATATACATCTTGAACTTTTGCATTCTGTTTGTATTCCATTAACTTTGTAACATCAACACAAACACAGCCTTCCATAGCACCCCCCTCACCGCCCCAGCTCCTCAATTTGCATTCCCTTGGGACGTTCATTGCTGAGAACAACTTTAAATGACTTTTTAAGTACGCAAAATATGCTCTTCCTCCCAAGAACTAGCAAAGATGCAAGAAGAAACATACCAATGGAGTCAAAGTGTCTAATTTATGCCAGTAATTCAAAGCAATCCAGCTTTTCAAAAAGGCACAGGGGCTTGTATACAGAACAACAATTGTCTTTGGTCTGATATCCAACAAGAATTAAGACATGCGAAGTTATCTTCGTTCCAAAAAGGAAGAGGTAAGGATTTTTCAGAGATAAAAACATTCCTTCAGAATCATAGTTTGCAAAAAATAATGCAGTAAGGAAACGCAATTTTAAACAAAAAAAACTTCTTGGAAAAATAGATATTTTGTATATTCATAGCTAGACAGAACTTGATAGCAAACCTAAGCACACATTACAGTGTGTATTGACACTTTCTTTGGGGAAAAAAAAAAATTAAAAACCCATGTGAGACATGGTGCAAAAGGCCTCTTATGGTGCAAAGTGCCTAGATGAAGTAAACATGTCTATATTTCTTCCTTTCAGCAAACTAAGGCCTGTATGTCACACCTCCTTCCAACTGTAAATTGTTCCTCCAAAGTGTTTAGACTAAGCAGATTCACAGTGATCTAACTACATCTTGGAATATGACCATATTAGAAATACACACAAAGTGGAATGAGAGTAGCTTTTTTTGTGTTCCATAATAAAAAAATAAATTGGTTCCTATGCTTTCATCATTCAGATAGAAGTTTCGACATCAGATCAGCGTTGCTGATGTACAGAGTTCCTTCAGTGTACTTAGTGTAGGTCTAAGGTACGTAAGTACACGTAAATATGCGCACGGACATCTATCACCTAGACTAGGAAAAAAAAGAATTTCATACAGAAATTCCTCAGTAGCAGTTATCCACACTAAAAGTACTTGAATTGCAAGACAGTCCGAACAGTCAATTTGTGAAGCTTGCTGTTTTGGTGATAAATTTTAAACCTGAGACACAGCAAAACCAAACCCACGCGCGATTTCGTATACGTCAAGGTATGTCAGTAACTTGATACTTGCACCATTACCACCTACAGAATATTGTATTATGACAAGAGTTACCTATGAGGAAAAAACCCGAAGAGTATTTCTAAGGTCCGATGTGCTGTGCAAAGTGCATGCTTCCGTACTGGGACTGATCAAACGGCATGTAACTCGTGCAGCCTTGAGACTGTGAACTTACGACATTGTACAGTCATCTCTGGATTTACCCTTACCCCTTCGACCCCCCTGCAAATCCTCCTTGCTTTCATCCCTGTTGTTGCCAGCACTTTCCAAATCCTGTTCTGAAACATTTTCATCTGGTATTTTTTCCACTTTATTAGAATCTGATGCTTTGACTTCATCTTCCATCACATCAGTCTTCTCATCAGTTTTCCAGGATGCTTCCTCTTGTAAGCACCCTGTTTCTTCAGGCTCATCTCCTTTTTTATGCTGCAAGCTGTCATCTTCAGTCAAGGCGTTTTCAGTTTCTATTTTGTCTGTTCTTTCTCTGGCTTTGTCTGTTTGGGCAGTTTTTCCGACAGGACCATTTGCTCCATCACCTTCTTCTTTCTGTGTACCAGCTTTCTCACCATCACATTTTTCATCAGTTTCTAGCATCTGTTTTGACTCTTCATCAAAATCAAATGCATCACCGTCATCCTCCAGTCTTTCCTCTGCTTGACCCTCCAATTTAACTTGTTCACTAACATTTTCATCCTGCTCAGCTTTCTGTGCCAGGGAATTATTTGCACTTTCCTCAGAAGCGAATCCACCACCATGGAGATCTGCAAGCTCTAACACTTGCTCATTTTCTTCCAGTGCTTCTTTATCAACTTTGTTTTCAGTAGTTACTTTAACATCTACAGTTGACTCCTCTTTAGATTCACCTTCCTCTTCTTTAACTACATTCTGTGCTTCACCTTCTAAAGGAGTGTTCTTCTCTCCCACCGTTGCTTCTTCACTACACTGAACCATTTGAACGTCTACCTTTGCCTTTAAATCCGCTACCCATTCTGTCCTACTTTCCTTTCCTTTCCCAGACTCGTCCCCTGTTTCCAATTCTGACTCCTTAAATTTGTCAGATAAAAGACTTGGGTCTAAACTGGTTTCCTGAGTCGTCACCTCTTTCACAACAGCTGTGTCTGGCTCTGCCTGCTGCAGCACACTTCCTTCTACCTCAGTAACACAGCCTATGGCCTCCACAGATGCCTTATCTTGCTCGCCTGTTTCTGCAGAATCTGAACACGTCTCCAACTTTTCCATCAAAACTTCCTTCTGTCTGTCCTTCTCAGACGCAGCGTTTTCAAGTTCAGTTTTATCCTGCATAGCTTGTTGCTCTGATGATGCCAAAGGACTGTCCTCTGAAGAAACTGGCTCGATGTCTGCCTTATCTCCACCATCTTCCTTTTCACTTTTATCTGCTGGGACACCACTTTCACGTGACTCTGTCCCCTCCAAACCCACAGACTCTGTTTCCCTTGTCTGACCCTGAACTGCATTCCCAACCTCACGTTCTTCTTCAGCTCTATCACCTCCTGTTTTATCAATTCTTCCATCAGTGCAGTCTTTGCTTTCAACAAGCTTTTCCTCCAAGACATTTGTAACCTTGTTTTCAGCACTTTCTTCTGAGTCCTGGAGTCCCTCAGCACGACTCTCCACATTTACCTCTTCACTAAGCAAGCCTGCTACTGTACCCTCTGGTAGCCCTGCCTGGTTGGAAACCAACTCACAGCTCCCACTCGTAACGGCATCCTCCTGATCCATTTCACTACCACTCAGGCCATGGCTAGTTTTAAGATCCTCTTGTTCTTCCTGTTCAGGTGCAGCTTTTTCCAGCTCATGCTCTGTACCTAAGACACTAGGCATTTCTTGAGAAGTCTCAAAAGGCTGATGACCTTGCAGAGAGCCCACCTCTGAGTTCTGATTTGTCCTTGCATTGAAGTCATGGTGTTCAGCCTCCATACTAACAGGCTGCTGGACTGCTGTGCTCGTGGACTCGGTCTCCTTTCTCAAATCATCTGTGTCACTATCCCCATTGGAAGAAGCGCTCTCTAATACACGTTCTGTAAGGCTTTGAGTTTGTTCTGGAAACCTACTACCTGGTAACATCACTGGTGACAGGGCATCACGTTCTTCAACCATTTTTTCTGCCTTTGCATTTTCATCAGCATGCAATGTCTGTACTTCCTGCTCCTCAGACTCCTCCTCTTTGTGTTCCTCACGCTCAGTATTCTGCAAGATTTCTCTTTTCCCCACATCCTCCAAAATCTCATTTTTCATGTCCACTTCATTGGCTTTGCCTAAAAGACCATTGAGAAAGTTGAAGGGACCACACCATAACACTTACCTCCCCACTTAAAACCCGAAAGAGAATGAATCAAAGAACAGGTTAATAAAAGATCAGCTTTTGCCAATTACGTGGGGCAAAGCAGCGATTGAATTAGTAAGGGTCTGAGGTTTTTGATCGGTGAAATTCACCACCACCCTCTCAAAGCAAGAAGTCTCTGGTGCTGGCTTGTGTTTTTGTAAAGTGAAAGATTTATGCTCTTGGCTGTGTGAATTACAGCTTCTGTAGATGAGAACAACTGTTTCAAGCAGTGCAATTTAACAGGAATACTTGCAGATGTAACACTAACACTAAAGATTCTTTTTTTTCCTCAGCAATATTATCTACAACTTTAACCCTAGCACCACTCCATGCATGCGAGAGTGTGTTTGATGCCATTATAATAAAGTAATCAAGGATTACTCAGTAAAAGTTTACTCTTAAGTATCATAAACAGGCATCATCAGTGTATGTGACCAACACTGAATGTAAAATCTGATTGGCAAGCAAACGGTTCAGCTGTCTGCCATTACCAACACAGACCAAAGCTCAGGCACTCAGCGCCCCTTACAGCCACTTCATCCGCTCAAAGGATGGGGACTTGGTGGTTTTGGGGGAGGTTTCTGTAACAGTTTTTCTTCAAATTTGATTTAGAAGCAACAGGGATTAGAACAAAAAGTGTGGTTTCAGCAGTTAGCTTTTGGGTCTATGTTGTACCTGTTTCCAAAAAACCACAAAACAACCAAACCAAAAACGGAATAAGGAGAGATAGAAAACGTACTACATTAAAAAATACACCCTTACCTTGGTTTTGGTGTTCCATATTGTTTCCACACAAAAACTGAGTGAGGAAAAAGCTGCCAACAGCTAAAAGCAAGACAGCTTGCCCTTGCAACAGTTGGCTGCCTGCTGCTATTTATTAGTGTGTTCATTCAGAACAAAAACAACAGAAAAATCTCTTACTTCCTTTCCTTCCACTAGTATCATAGTTCTCTGAGAAGGCCATTCATCACAACAGCATAAGAAGAAAATTTTGGCCAACCAGATTTCTCCTTCCTAACACTCAGAGTTATCTTCTTTGAATTTAACAGTGTTAATCCTGTTACAGCAAGTAAAAATGTTGAGGTGTTAATATGAACTGGTCACTAGTACTAGATACCACGAACTACAAATTCATACATTTGTGTGCTCTAACAGTGCCCAGCACTGTTGTTCAGCAGACACTTACAGTTCTCAGGTATATAAATGAGCCAACATACAAGTTCTTGACAGGAAACTAAAATGCTTTTTCCTGATTCTTTAAGATACGTGCTGAAAAATATTGAACAACAGTAGGATTATTCTGGGACAATTTTCAAATTCAGGGTTTAAATAGGAATCTGAATGATTGCTACTTATCTGTAATGTAATATTTGTATTCTTGTCCTTTGTCGCCTTGAATGGGAAATGAAGTCTGCCTTTGCAGGAAACTGCACAACGTACTTGAAGTGATCACAAATATTAAGCAGAAAAATGCATAGGAAGTGATTCGACAAGAAGCATGCTGCGTGATGCGTTAATTGTCCCACTAAGAAATGCCCAAACTCCAAGCAAAGATGAATGAGTGGACAGACAGACAGAAAGATGTGAAAGGACATACAGCACTTACCTAGCATCCCATCCCCTCCTGTCTTTAATGCCTGAGTTGTGCCCGGAACATTTTTGGAAGAATCCAAGTGTCCTTCGTTATCAAGAATGTCTGATGTCTCTCCGTTGGTGGCTATGTCAGAGTCTGGGATTATTCCGTGTTTCTGAGGAGAAGCAGAAGAAATGCTTTAGAGCCTACAGCTCAGACATGGGAGGACAGTTCAGGTGTTGTGTTCTTGGCATTCTGAACAAACAATTGCTTCAATCATTCCATTAAAAACGGCTGGAAGTCAGAAGAGAGCACAGAATACTGCAGTTCTCATTTTAGCCATTATGATAGAAAGCATGTGATCCCAGCTTTTCTTTTTTTTTTTTTTAAACATAAATCTGCTGCGTAAAATGTTCCTCAGAGAAGCATCTCCTACAAAAGCAACTACTTAATCCTGCAGTCTATACTAAGAGCTCACCGTCAATACTAGGGGGAAGGACTTTATATAGAAAATTCCTGAAATGGCAACTTACAGGCAACATGAAAATAGAGTTCTTGCTACTAAGCTAGATTCAAAAGTTTGTGCAAAAACATACAGGAGGAAAAAGCCAGCAGTTGAGTATAAGTTTCTTTTATTCCTCTTGCATACCTTCAGTTGCTCCTTCAGCACAACCACTTCATCTCTAAGGTCATCCCGCTCACTCCTTATGGAATCAAAGAAATCTTTCTGCCTCTCTAATGCCTGAGTTCCCAACACAGACAGAGGGCAAGGAGATGTGAAGAAAGGAAAGGAGACAAGTAAAGATCACGAAAAGCAAGTGTAAACAAGAATATTCAGAGATTCATGGAAGTGGCATGTATGAAAAAGGTAAAGTTTACAGATTAAAGGACTGAGTTTACATACACACAGACCAACTTCAAATCCAAGAAATGCACAGCTTATTAAACAACCAGGAATTCCTACTAAAGAGCCCAACCCTTCATTAAGGATCCTTCCAATGAGAATCCACTTTCCGTTCTTATCTGCTAGACAATTAATTCATATCCACATCACTTCCAAAGGCACACGGAAGGCACAGTGCAATTCCCATGTGTTAACAGAACGGCATGAAAGCAGGCCCAGCAGATTTTAACAGCCTTTTTATTGCACGGGTTACCACAGCGGGTGCAGTACGTTTCAGTTAATTTAAAAGCTGCCAATAAGTCATCTTTAGACTGGGATGTACCATGTGCAAATGCGTATTTTGCTGCTGTACTCTCCAATATTTCTATATAAATACACAAATAGAACAGTAACAAAAATCAGAAAATTTTGAGTTTCAAATTGCTACAAGTTATTGGACATTGCAAGGATGGGCAAGTTGCCAGATTTCTGTCTCCTATTTTCGGAATGATTTTCAGTGCTCATTGTGAGAAAAGAAAGCTATGCTTTTCTTTAAGAGTGGGTTGCCATTTGGCTTTGATAGGGGGTGGTGGGAACAGATTAGAAGCAAGGGAGAGTTGGAGACTTTCATCCCAAAAACTCATAAATAGCTCTATTGCTTCTGTATCGCACTCCGGTTTCTGCTTAGTCCGCAGATTAAATTTGAATAAGCAAAAATTTAGTGCTGATGGAATTGCATTATAAATAGCACTTCCTTTCTCAATATGGCAAATACAAATGGTGCACCACAGCAAATAAATTACCCTGGGCTTTGAAATCAGACCAGCTGCTAAGTTTTTCTTGGATTTTACGATACCGGCCAAAGACAAAAATCTGCTATTTGCTAGTTCACTGATAACACAGTTAAGACAGCCACACCAAATGAAGTCACTAGGGAGGATTTTATTTTATTCATGAGGTTTTGCAAAAGCAGGATCAGCTGGAGAACAACAGTGCCACTCTAAACACACTTCAGGAGTTGACAGTCCTACCCCTATTTTTTTGTCTTTCCACTCTATTGTCTCCTGAAGATCAGAAATTTCCCTGACATAGCTCTGCTGTTTCTGTTGCAGTTGCTGGATTTCCTGAGAGACAGGGGCAAAACAAGAAGACAGAAAGCAGGAAACAGGTTAACAAAGAAGGTTAAGATTGCAGTGATGCCAAAGAATGAAAAAAGTCAGGTGCTAAAGTAAAACAGTATCTCTGTGCACAGCTTCACAGTTTCTGACATCTCAACTAAACCGACACTCCTGAAGACAATCTTACTAGCCATGAGATGGCTTAAAACAAGTTGGACAGTTCCATCAGTTTCCTCTGCATCTCCACAAACAGCTGTCCGAAACACAGCTTATTTCATATTACGGACAAGGCAAAAGAGAAGCCCAACTTCAGGTAATGCTTATGAACATACTATTTCTATTAGTCAGCTCTGAACCTGTTTGGCCTGAAACACCTGTATTTCTTCAGGTGAGAAACTTGAGTAGGGAATAAAATTCTCCATACCTCACCTTCTACACTCCTACTGCTAACTGGGAACATACCAATCCAAGAAGCCATTAAAAAAAAAATAATTTACTTACTGCAAGCATTTCTTCTCTTTGCTTCAAAGCTTCTTTGATTTCCATGAACTGAAACTGCAATATGCTATGAGCATGCTTCTCCCTCTCAAATTCCTATGAATAATGAAATATTCATGACATTTTTATTGATCAAAAATAGCATCCCATGGAAAAAAAAGGAGAAAATAAGCCCGACCACAAAGGAAATGCTTACTGCAACGCAATTCTTGCATATTCCTCTAATCACGATCCCAGAAGAGAAGAATTTTTATCTGAGAAACTATTATTCCATGAAATATAGAATTCACGGACATCATTTAGCCATAAGTTCGTAAGTTAAGCAGCAGGCTGGCAGCGAATAGCTTTTACACTCCAGTCCTACAGACTTCATAGATGAATGGATGGGAATTTAACCCACTCATTCCAAATAGCTGCTTACTAAAAATTAGCCAGATATTATGGACTTCTAAAACTACACTGCATCTTCCAGAAACTCTGTGTTTTGAAGCACACTATAGCAAAATACCCCAAGCCAAAAAGCCAGTTCTGAAAAGCTAACACAAGCCACAGCTTTATTATTTAATACCAACTTACTAGCTGTCAGATGCTGAATTCACATTAAACTTAATTCAACTCTCAACTAAGTAGCTGCCTTAACTATATAAACGGCACAACTGCCTCATGGGCCTTCTGAAGAGAATTTTGTGTATAAAAATACTTTGGAAGTCACTATGAACAAACCCTCTGAATTGACTTTAAAGATGGACTATAAAAGGACGTGTGATAATATCAATATAGCCTTAGCATATAAAACATTTCTTCACTTCTTCAGAAATTGCTTTATAAGACAGAAACTTAGGGAAGATTCCCATTTATGTGATCACAACACACAATACGCTGCTATTCCACTTGCTTTAACAGTAACCAGAAAAAATAACTTAATTAAAATCTTGTAATTTGGTTGCCTCCTCCCAAAGGTCTCTGTGGCTTGTCCTGTGCCCCAGTCTTTCCCTGTTTAATAACATGCCATATCTAGATACATACTTTACTTTTTTCTTCATATTGCCGCCTGGATTCTGCTAGCTGTTCTTCTAACTCTAAGAGAGCATCCTTCAGCGTATCTACTTGGTACATGAAATTTGTTTTTTCATTGTCTAGTTGAGCATTTGACACCATAGCCTTTTTATATTTCTCTTCAACTTCAGCTAGAGAGTCCTGCAAAGAACAAGCAACCACAGTCAGAGTCAGTTATAAAGGACACTTTGCCAACCAAGACCTTCAACACAAAAATTAAGTACTAAACCACAAGCATGCTGAGTACCCCTACGGAAACCAGGGCTAATCATGCGCTAGAGAGGCTTACCAGTTGTCCCAAGGTGAGGATAACCTTCCCTGTGTTCCCACCAGACGTCTGTTTACAAGCAAGGAACTCTACCTCAGGACGGATAAAACGTTTCCTGTTCTTTGCTGCTTCAGCTTCTGCCTTCTCAGAGTTTTCTTCCTTCTCCCTCCTCCCCCTGCCCCTGCACACTGGCAGCTCAAAGCAGCCGCTGAACATGACAAGTTAGAATTTTTTTTTTTTAAAGGTAAACTGGCCTTGATTTAAGATCATTTTAAGCCTTAAATTAAGGCAGTTTGACAGCCACTTCACAGAAATTTCAGGGGTCTTTGCAGTGTGGGAACCACTAAATATACTGACTCAGAAATTAGAATTTGCTATGGAAAAGCTGCAGCTTTTATAACCTGATATATCAATTTTCATTAGGTTTCCTATATCACACCCCTTGTTCACAAATCTACTCTGTAAGACAATTCCCAGGGTCTCAAAAAACCTCTCCTATCAACTTGACCTGAACATAAGATACTGAGATATTTGTAACAGCAGATGATGGCAAAATAAGGACCAGGATCATCTTTCATGTTGTGCGCACAAACTTTGCAGTGTTTGATTTTAATAGAGAAATAAAAAAGAGCTACATAAATAAAACAATGTGAATATGCAAACAAGGAGGACACTCATGTTAACACTAGTTTACAGATCAAGCAATTCCTTTCAGAACTTAAGTAATTCTAATAATTACATCTAAAGCACAGGTGAGTTTCATATACTTCCCTTTTCATTCAGTCAATGGGACCGGGGATGATAGTGGTGAGATGACAAAATTAAGTTTGAATCAGTTTAGTTTACATTTCTATCGACAAATATGAGAATTCATCGTTCAGGACATGAATTTATACAGTTCCAAACACGAGCTGTGTTTCGGTGTGCTTTCCAGCCCAAGGATGAGAAATACCAAGCAAAGGAAAGCAGTTAGGGTTTGGAAACAGCAGTAGGATTAAACCACCAAAATTAGCTGGAAAGGAAGTATATGCAAGTCAGAAGTGAAGGTAGTTGCTGCACCACTCCTTCAGCATGCTACGTTTTGTTTTCTTAGCACCGAGCAGTGCGGCTTCGGTACAAATCACCACAAAAGGCAGTGCAAGGGACACAAACCGAAAAACAACCTACGTTTTCTATGCAGTGTGATTATTTTGCTACACCTGCTACACAGTGATCAAGGAAAAAAAAACATTAGGTTTTACAGAAAAAGGGCCAAACTATTCTTTTTCCATTGAGCACTCACTCAAGATGGCAGCATCTTCACCTGTCACAGCATTAAGCCGATGACACAGTCAACAATTAATGCTGATAAATCTTGCATTAGATGCCTGGATGTCCAAGTACATATTTGCAAGACTGCCTTTTCCAAAAAAAAACGCAGCTCGTGTTGCTGCTTACTTATGAGGTGGTGGTACATGGATGCACAAGTTAGTTGTTGCACCGAAATTCGTTTATGGCTTCCTGAAAGTGGTAAGCACTTCCTCCGTGCCAAGTGGTATGAAGGTTCATTCTTCACCTAACAAGCTTTGTTACATGAAGGTTTGTTATAAGAACTGTTCAAGGGTGCCTTCTGTGATCTAAATACAAAACCAAAACAATAGTCACCACCTCACAGGCACAACTTTCCAAAGGGATGCTGGACCTTACCAAAACAAAACATACAAGCTTTTAAACTCTGATTTTTCGTAGCACTGTAGGACATGAGTTTTAGTCCATCTTCCAATACTGGGAGGCTTCCTGGATTAGAAAACTATAAAAAAAACCCTCTAATTTGCTAGCAAAATGATTACCTTCTAAAAACAGCAAAGACAACATGCAATAGTAACGAGCAGCCTTCCAGTTAACATTCGGAAGCATTCCTCACCACAATCACTCAAGGTCAGAACAGATACTTTTCCACTTAATGAAGTGCTTTTCAAACAGTTTACAGAAGAAAGCATGCAAGTTCAGTTCTAGGTCTCACACTAACTCTCTGAACGTTCAGCTGGTGTTAATGATCACACTCCCAGTCTGCAGCAAACCAGTACCTTCATTTCTTTCAGTCCCTGCATGTATTTGCCTTCTACATCCTGAATCTGGTCCTTTAACTCATAGATATCCTGAGGGAAACGGTGAGAAAGGTGAATGATGCCACCGAAACTAAGGGGCAGAAGCGCAGCTGATGGGGAAAAGCAGGTATCCAAATTTCTCATTTAAATATTTCTACCACACAGGTTAAGCGGTCTGATCCTAACCTGAAGCCTTGCCAGACAAGGAAATTTCTTGGTTAGAAGTTTATGCTAATTCTGCTCTTCTCGACTGGAAAAAATGAAATCATCAATGTTAAGGACAAGATGCAGACCCAGCTTCAAAGCCTCCAACCATTATGTGCCCCAGCCACCCAGTCCTTTTCTACCCCTTTCACTGATTATTGTCCTCTGTGGAATTCTGGTATTAAGGGTCAGGGCTGCCAAAGCAAGCCTGAAATTACACCAAATTTAGTGTAAGTCCTATTCCAGTCTCTCTCCTCTTTGGTGCTGGCTTACCAGCAAACGGCTATCTTTCAGCTGTTTTACAGTACTGAAACCGGGACAGACCCCTTGTATCTGAGGTCCCAATACAAATTCCAAATGTTTTAACTGGCTGTAATTTCGGAAGAGTTGTACGTCGCATGCATGAAAGTTAACAGAATTCAGATTCCCCATTTTAAAACAGTCTTCAGAATGGAGCACTAAAAAAAAACAGATTACAAAAACCAATTTAGCTATGGACTACCCAGCCTAGCACTGAATGATACCAACACTGGATTGCACAGCTATTTGCTATTCAAACGTGTCCAGCTTCATGGAACCACGAATTAGAGGACAAGATACAGCCCCCTCCCCAAAATAGCATCCAGTAAGTGCAGTGCTTCTTGCATTATTTCAGTCCTCCTACCAGCGTGCTGTACCGAGCCCATTTCCCATTTCATTAGGTCAGGAGGAGATGTTGTCTGTTACGATCAGTCTGACCTGCTATCCCATGCCGTAGGACTTTACCCAAATATTCCTGCAATACACACTCGCCTCCCAGCAGCATCCCTCTCACAAAGCTATTCACTTGTCTTTTACAGCACACATTTCATTTTGGCAGAACTGCCAGAAGGGGGAGACAAGACAGTTTCTTTTTTGGAAAGAAGTATAAGGCATATTTAGTAATATCCTTTAGATAACATTAATCTATTTAATAATAACGCGGGGGACAGTCCTAGTTAGCATCAGCCTGTGAGTCCCAATTCTTACTGCCAACATCAGCACTACCTTCAAGTAATCTTATAGTTTATCAATTTATCAAGTACAAGGCATAAATAACATTCTGAGCAAGACAGTCATAGTTAAGAGACAGATTCCTAACAATTTACACTGGTTTTAAGTATTTCTTACCTTGATTTCTCTAATAGATGCCTCTGTATCAGCTGAGATAGATGTATCCCCACTGCCTCTTCGTGAAGAAGTCCCACCCAGAGAAGCTAAGGTAGCTGCTGATAAACTTGAAACAGTACGTGCTCCCTACAATCACACACAGTTAAAAATGGTTGGTTTTTTTTCTAGATACATTGTGTGTTTATAGCTTGGATTTTTGTAGAAGTGTTTTGGTTTGGTTTTGTTGGGTTTTTGGTTTGTTTTGTTTTAAAATGTACACTTTACACCAACCTTTGCCTTTCTAAATGAGGCAAATTTGATTCAAATGTAACTTTCTAAGAAGGAAAAACAAAAGATCAAGATCTACCAAAGGAAATTAACGAGAAAAGGCTGATTAGATGTATTTAAACGCTATTGAAATAGGAGTTTGCATGACATTTGCTTAGCATCTAACTATTAATTCTAAATTAGACAAAGTCTTTAGGGCCTAGTATCATCTTGCCAAATAATTTCAAAACATGTAATATTGCATTTTGTGGAAGCTTTTGACTGCCCCTCCAGCTCCTCTCCTTTCATGGATATTCATCTATTCTGCAGCAGTAGCCACATTAACAGATTGTATTATACTGACGGTTCTGCATGAAGCCAATTTCTCACTGCTGCAGTATCCGCCTTTTTTTTTTTTTTTTACACAATACCATAATTAAAAGCTAATAAACAAACCCAGTATTCATATGTGGCTTAGCCTAAAGCAATTTCAGCAAACTGCTTCTGAAGGCCAACTACTTAACCTCTGTATAACCAGAGAGGTTTAAAGAGTTTGTCTTAAAAAAACCCCAAACCATAGTGGTAGAAGGCTCCAGTAATTCCAAGTTTTGCCCCACAGTGGATTTTCTAGATTTCTGTACACTCACTTCAAGTTCTACCTACCAAAAAGAACGTGAAAAAAGTGCTATTGGCAGAATAATTCAGAAGATCCTCCTTACCTTCTCAAAGTCTTTTTCTGGCCTTTCCTCAATCTGTAAAACAAAGATTTAGAAGGAATCGTTACATTTTAAAGGACAAGTCAAGGCAGTAAGGCATCAGAAAGGGAATTCTTAAACCAGTAAAAGACTTAATCAGCAATTTCTATCCACTCAAAAAGCAGCCAGGACACTCAGAACAGCAGTGTCCTGCTTGGCATCTCAGGGCACGAGGCTGGACAAATCACCTCATGTTTCTAAGCAGTACATAATTAAGTGGAATACACTTACTGATAAAAAAATATTTAGTCTGCTAAATAAGACAGAGGAATACTTTTTTTCCATATTCGACATCACAGTGTTTCAAATATGAAGATGGCATTTGATCCATGAGTTAACAATGCAAGAATAAAAAGGCCTACCTGGGCATGAACTTAAAGCCCCAGATGTCTTTCTCTGGACATGAAAACAGCTGTTTGCAACTGCTGGGCTGACATACGCAGCTACTCCTGTTTACTTTAGAACAATTTAAAAATATGCCTCAAATGAACCCCAAAAAGCAATTTACTCACGTAGAGAGGTTATTTTTTTTTTTTAATTGAAAGATCAGTAGATTTCCAGACCAGGAGAGCTTCTTGAAGTTACATTTTTTTATGGACCTTAACTAAAAAAAGAGGCTGCCTCTGAAGCCTGCCCGCACATCCCCCCCATTCCAAAAAGCAAGGTACCAAGTTAGACTTGAAGTACTCTACTGTGTCTGCACTGCTCCCTAAAGAACAACAATGGGGCAGGAGATGGGGTAGGGAAAAAAAATAAATCTGAAGCTTAAAATCCCTAACAAGTGTTCTCCATTCGAGACAAAAGGCAACTGTGACTTCAAGCAAAGATACAAGTAAGGCTGAGACTAGAAAAAAAAATGACACTCAAGTCAAATATTAGGGAGCAGTTCAAAGTCTAAATAAACAGCTCTTTTATGGTTTCAGTAATTCACTGGAGTTTACTAATTCCAAAGAGAGATCCTGTACTAAAACTAGTCTAGAAGAAACGAAACAGAGCCAAAGTAGCATTTAGGAATACAGAAAATTACCATGGATACAGACAGCTTAAACACTCAAAAGAAAGTCACAGAGCAAAACCCACATACAACCTGAGCATATTTTTTTATTTCCCTTGATGGGAACCATCCTATCAACTTTTTCCTGCTCTGAAACCAAACACAATACACAAGTCCTAAGAGGAGAAATTTAAAATCAAGTGTTTCATCATTATTCACTTTGCTATTGAGGGGGAAAACCAAAACAAAACAGAAGGAGTTTCACAACAGAATCTTTTTGTTAAGTATCTCCATCTAAAATGTAACTAAGTTTAAAAAGGACTGAATGAAATGAAAAGCTCAGCAGAACTCAGGAAGTCCAGAACATGTCAACCTCTTCTGGGAACATTCGGCGCCACAGTTAAGATGGTTTCCCAAAAGATTTCTAGGAAATTAACAGCTTCCCCAGATCAAGAGCCTAAGAGCCAAAGGGAATAATGTTTTTCAAATGACAAAAAAAATAATCAGATCGGATTCAGGAGAAGGCAGGGGATAGCTGAGGTTAAGTTTTTCAGTTTCACTGAAAACACACTAAAAAACTCCATCTCTTTCCAATGAGTTCACATTTGGCATAGGGTTTTCTTTTCTTTGAATTACACAGAGCAATGTGTGGATGATCCCATGTTATTTTTCATATTACCCACAGTATCCTAGGAAAAAAATCCCAGAACTGAGAGATACCTATTACAAATCAGCTTTTACACTGACAACACATCTCATATCATAAATTCCCTATGATTAGTATTAAGAAAATTTAAGACTTAGGCTTCAAAGTAAAATAAGCCAAACTTAAAGCACTAGTTATAAACTTCACAAAGACACTGAATACACAAAGTACTTAGAGGGGGAAAAAAATCAAAGTCTCTGAATTTGGATGCAATAAGAGAAAGTCACTAATGAAGGCAGATACTTCAGAATCCAACAGACAAGATGGCCTGACTTTTGCAAACTGCCTATTATTTTCATGCCAGGCAGCTCCAAGTGGTATACTGGCAGCCTTCTAGCCCAGCCAAACACCATGTTGCTGTTTACCAAGACAGTGGTGGAAATGTAAATACTGGCATGTTACCAAAGACTAGTGTGTACACCCACCCACCCAAATCTATCTCCAGAAATTTATGTCTAGCCTTTTGCAAAGTCTGCCCTGCGGCTTCAGGGCACGACTCAAAGTAGTATTTTCCCTAAGCAATTTGCACAATGTCCTCTATTTTCTGACAAAAATGTGCAAACTCAGTTTTTAATAAGATAACAACTCTTGATATTGTTTTAATGATCCTCATAGCAGTCAAATAAGTGCTTCCATTTACAAAGGGAAATATGTTGAAGACAATGTGCTGAGATAGGCATAAGGTGGACATTTCTACTCAGCGCGCTCATAACCACACCTGTGACACTTGCTACACATTTATACCAAAACGATCGTTAATAACTCTGAGGTGGCATAATTTTTTAATCATTAAAGCTATTAAGTAACTTCTAAAATAGTTGTGGTTTAAAAAATAAAATAAAATACAGGAGATTTCATTTCCCTAGTGATGCCCTCATACACACATCCATTTGGTGTCATGAATGGAACACTCAGAGCATTTTCTCCTCTAAACCAGTAATTACCACTACCAATTGATTTAAATATTAACATTTATAAAAACTAGTCTGGTTTGAGAAAAGCTAGTTCCCCATTCAAACATAGCATCCTTTCATTATAAAGATGTCTCCTGCTACGCAACACTTTTCTAAGCAAAATCTCAGTCTGAACAAGCAGCATTTAATTTTCTGATTACATGGCAGTGATGTACCAAAAGCTGTAACGAGTGTCTTGTAGGAAGACAGAAGTCTATTTTAGATTAATATTTTATCGAGTTTTCATTCTGCTCATCTCTGGAATAATGGATTTGCAGTGTCACTCCTTTAAAAAAAGATAAATCGTTGTTTCCAACAGCACTCAGCCACCAGAGGGAACTCCAGGTTTTCATCCTTCACCCGGTACCCGACAAGCCCTTTCACATTTGATCCAGTAAGAAATCACACAGACAAAGGTCAGGAAAAAAATGTTTGTTTTCATTTGAAGTTGCACAGAATTCTTGCTCAAAATACTTACCATCCATATTATCATTCAATAAAGACCACCTTCACAGTACTGTACTCAGCATAGCCCTTTACACAAAAATACTGGCTCTGGGGCTTTTCCACATGAAAACATAAAGGACTAACAGAATACTTGCTAGAAGAGGAGATGTAAAGATGAATTCACCTAACAATACTAGATCTTTCATTTCTAGAACATTGTACCATTTTTAATTTCCACAAGGGTATGGGTCTGTCTCTAACCACAGATTACCCTCCTTTTCACCAACAATTTGGGCAATGTGTACTTGAGTTTATTAAAAAAGCAGGAAAAGGAAGTAATTTTCCTAGGAACTCCAGCACGCACATCTTTATTTTGGCAAAGGGAATAGGTTGCTCTCTGCAAAATAAGTACAACGGGATCAGAGTTCAGCCTCTTCTGACAGCAATTTCGGAATAAATCTGGAGCCATGTTACAAAAATGTCAGCAATATCAGAGGCTTACCGCAGCTGGAAACTTAACAAGAGCAAAATCATTCCACAAGGCTATATATGGATATATCGCCTATTTTTCATAGATAATAAAAACATTTTAGTATAACGTTTGAAAAAGTATTTCTCTCTACTCTGCAGTCAGCTAGCAGGTTAACCCTTGAAGTGCTTTGCCACCAGTGAGTATCCAGGCCAAAATCAGAGCCCTCCTAGCACTATCACGGCACATCCAACAAGACGGCTCTCAAACACCTACTGAAAAGACCAGCTGCAAGTAAAGAGAAAAAATTATTCAGATCTTTAAATCGATGGAAGAATTGGGACTAAGGCACAATTTCCAGCTCTCAGTCTGCTAAACAAGGCTAGAGAGGATATGAAACGCTTGCAGTTGGGTAGCACTGCGAACCATCCTCGGTATGAGACAACCTCAGTGTGTTCAGTATGTGGCTGTCACTGCTCAGCTCCATCTAAGATCTTGTACTTAGATCAACTTCCTCATAAAAGCAAGGTTCTGGGTTGGTTTTTTTTTTTCGTGACGAATCAAATTAAGATAATTTCCTGCTCTTAAAGTAGTACAGCACACTTTGAAATGGAAATATGGCCCACACCAGAGAAAAATTCTTGCAACACCTAGTGCTGAACAAAGGATGGCATCTACAAAAACCGGAATTAAAAACCAAGTACTGTAGTCAATATAACCCCTCCTACAACCCCCATCTTACCAGTTGGATCAGCTGGGCTGGGGCAGGCAGTAACACAGAGAGTTCCTGCGTGTTGTTCCAATGAGAGCCACCTTAACACGGGCAATTAGCAATAAGCCTTTAAAAATCAGCAGGGGAAAACCACTGCTGAACTTTGTCAGGTCTAAAGTGGATTTGTCAGAAGTCTCCTGGCTGAGGAATGAGTGTTATGCCAAACGTCATTGCTTAAACAAACTTATCAGGCTCTGAAATGCAAGTTAGCACTGCGGCAAATCCTCACTCCGGAGGGGCCGAAAGCAGAGCAGGCTCAGCGGCCGGGCTGGGCTACGAGCCTACCGTAAATCTAAGTGCAGCAGAGAGAAGGCAAAGCTTGAGCACGCTGATGACAGCTTCCATGAACATTTAGCCTGACTGTCTTCATTTTACTCAGGGTGAGAACATGATAAGCTTCTTCAAATGAAAAAAAGCTATTCCCAACCGTGCCTTCATGCACGACCTGAGGACTGCACGCTCGCTAAGTGGCACCGGCGTCCTGAGTCTTGCACTTGGCACGACCACGCTGCTGCTGCTGCCAGCCCACCTGGCTAGGCTGCGTGCCCACTGCTTGTGCCCGCTGTCGGAGGCTCCCCCAGGAGGGGAAGAGTCAGGATGAAAGATCGTCTTTCTCCGGGAAGCAAAACGTGCTCTTGCCAACTATTTTGCCTTCCTTTGCTCAGAGGTCTTCGATAAACACTATTGCATTCTGAGTCTATTTAAAAATAACTGCTTTTCACTAGTAGTTTATCAGTTTTTTAAAAAAGAAAAGTCCCATTACTTCATACATACAAACACCAATAAATATTCACGTGTTTAAGTTATGTTCTTGGCTTTTACTGCATTACAAATACGTTAGCAGAAATGAGAACACAAGGTGGCAAAGCTGTGCGCAGCAGGAAAAGTACCATTGCTTTTTGCTCACTGTTTAATTAACAGCGGTAGAAGAGGGAAACAAAATTCTGAGAAAAGATTTAAGGGCTGCAGTGATAAGATATCGTATGCTGCAATTTAGAAAGTTAAATTGAATCATTTCTCTCTTCTCAATATATAATTTCTCATGATAGTTAGTCAGGCTTCGGAACAGTTCAATTTTGGTTTTCTGCCTAATATTGCCCATAATCATAAGAAAATAATATTTAATTTCAGTGCTAAGCACTCATGATTACAGCACATGGATTTTGTCACACTCTCAAGTGACATAAGCTTGCTGGAAATTCAGCTTTTCAACCCAGCAGATACGCCCCTTTCCTTCCTCCTCCTCCAGCCATTTAAAAAGTAAACTTGGAATCAAATCTTTACGTATGGAAATGCCAAAAGATATATAAAGCAGAATCAAGAAAGCATATGGCTCAATACATTGAGGCAGGGAACAACTCCATTTTGGGGGTTAGCAATATTAAAAACAGTTCTAACACAGACTACTCATGTAGATAAAAACAACCACTTTTTTCCTCTCGTAAGTTATCACCATCATCCAAGGAGATCTTTATTCTTCCTTTAGAAGTCCAAGCAGATGACATTTCGGGACTGTATGAGTGGAAGCGTGTGGATTTGGTGTTGAAGAACATGGTTTAGGGACCCTGACAGTGCAGGGTGAATGGTTGGACTCGATGATCTTGAGGGTCTCTTCCAACCAGATGATTCTATGATTCTATGAAGCGCTACACTGCTAAGCCTCCTGAGAAGACAGGGCTCTGCTTCAGCATCTTGACTGCCAAGATCAAGTACACAACTGGAAATGTTATCAAAACGCCTTGAAACCTCAGTAAAAGTGATTCCTTACTGTGAGTTACATGAAAAGGTGGTGTCTGTTTAATACAGGAAAAAAAATTAAAATAAATAAAATCACAAGGTGCTGCTGCATTGACCCTCTGTAGTAATTAGAACTTTTAAGAGCAATGCCAGCCCCTTAAGGAGGCTTGCACTACCTTGCATTAGGAGAAGCAAAGCCCCTGCAGTGGTGCCTTTTAGCCCCACTACTCAGCTCTAACTCTCAGCTCTTCTTCAAGGCCACGGAAATAACGGAAGCTCTTCACACCCTGCAATAAACCACTAATTAATTAATTAAATAAATAAATAAATACTTTTTAAAGTGCCTGCTATCTCCTTGCAGAGCAGATTCAGCTTGGCACCTCTCCAGCGCCTGTGCTGACACAGCTAACCATCTCTAGCCACTTGCACACGAAGAGTCCAAAGCGTAAGCAGTTAATTAAAAGACAGAAAATCCCCTATAGCTCCCAGAAGGGGCAAGCTGCATTTTGTGATTACCGTAAGCAACTTCCATGACTGACTCAGACTGCATACAAAAACCACATAATGGAAACCAACATCAATGTATGGGCACCCGATTCTTACACTTCAAAAGAACTTTAATAGAATCCTTGGTTATTGTGATTATTTTTTTGCTTTGAGGATAATTGAAATTCAGATTGCAAAGCCATTTAAAAAGTATTACTAATGTAAGATATATACTGCAAAAACACATAGCTCAGAGACTCAGACTCAGGGATTAATTAAAATACTGACTTATTTATAGCTCACCGGCTGCTGTAAGTTATCTGACAAAACCCCTCTTTTTTAAAAAAATAAAATCATCATTTTAAACAGGAGGTGTAGTCTTGTCTTTAAGAAGCACCAGCACTTCAAATCACATACCTCTATTCTATCAATTTTTTACAAGGGCCTGTAGTGATAGGACAAGGGGCAATGGATTTAAACTGAAAGAAGGCAGATTTAGATTGGATATAAGGAAGAAATTTTTCACTCAGAGGGTGGTGAGGCACTGGAACAGGTTGCCCAGAGAAGTTGTAGATGCTCCATCCCTGGAAGTGTTCAAGGCCAGGTTGGATGAGGCTTTGGGCAACCTGGTGTAGTGGAGGGTGTCCCTGCCCATGGCAGGGGGGTTGGAACTAGATGATCTTTGAGGTCCCTTCCAACTCTAACCATTCCATGATTCTATTATTCTAATTCCATTTCCTTTGGTTCCAGCCAGTTTATTCAGCTCTTTCTCACTTAGGAGAGAGCTGCTAAGGCTCACCCGTTCCCTGCCTGATGACAAGAAGCCACCCTGCATGGAGAGCTGAGGCACCTTTCCCCACTGGAACGCAAACCTACTCCATGGTCCTAACCACGGGACAAAAACCCCGGAGTGCACAGGTTTCCACACCGCAGGCTGCGTTTGACGGGGGAACCAGCAGGATGGGGGACATCAGATAAAATGCAATTCCTTACTGCAGGCTCTGTGCGTTCACTGAAGAGGAACGCTCCAAATGTTTATGTCGCAGCTTACCGTGCTGCATGCTGCGGTAGTTTCTTTGACTATCCGGATACTCCTTTTTAATTAGACCTTAAGGCAACATTTACAGCATTTAAGTTTCAGCTCCTCAGCCAAGCAACAAAGGCAACAGGATGTTATGACTAGAGAAGCACGTTGTGTGTGTTAATTTACAATATTACCCTTCTCATCACTTCGTGTCTTGGGGATGTGGTAGGAAATAAGTGACAGGCTCCAGGAGAAATGGTGCATTAAACCATAGAATGAATCATAGAGTGGTTTGGGTTGGAAGGGACCTCAAAGATCATCTCGTTCCAACCCTCCTGCCATGGGCAGGGACACCCTCCACTACACCAGGTTGCCCAAAGCCTCATCCAACCTGGCCTTGAACACTTCCAGGGATGAGGCATCTACCACTTCTCCAGGCAACCTGTTCGCTAAGGGGAATGCTTTACTGAAACTCAGCGCAACACTTCAAAACTCGGTGTCCGTGGAAGATTAATTTTGTTACAGATCATTTTACCGTAAGCTGCAGGTTTCTTCTAAAAGACATGCTACTGCACTCTGCTGCTGTTACCACGCTATCTGGCCTTGCTCTGAAATTAATCAGGAAATATACTCAGAGTTGTAAACAGCCAGATGGAACAATCACAAAGAGAAAGCAACAATATGCTGCTGAAAAAACAGAATACAATTACTTTGTATTTATAAAAAGCAGGGGAAAAAGTCTTGTCTTGGTCAGCTACAGTCACAGGAGTTGGACAAGCTGTTAGCATTTGAGCCTTGCTAAGCCATGGCTACACAGGAATTCGCAATGGATAAACACACTGGGTACGTGTAATCCTTCTATCACTTCACCATGCTAAAGACTCTGCAGCGCCTGGTCATCTGCATCCAACAAATACGTTCAAATCCAATCTCTGGATAGCCTTGCAGCAGCACAACACTAAAATACTGCGGAATAGAGAGAAACTCAACTACTGGAACGCTGCAGTAAGATTCAGCGTCTCCTGATTTTAATAACCAAAGGAGATGTGGCATTAGCATCAACAACCCATTCTTTTTCACAATACCCTTGCCCATGTGCTTTATGCCCAACTTTAAAAAAAAACAGCATTCATGTGAGTCTAAAGTGTACTTCTACTGTAAAAACGTGCATCTGCATTGAAAATACTTTGGTTTTGTAATTTTTCATCTGATTCACCCCTTCTTTGTCTTAAGCATTGCCCAGAAGGTCCAGATGAAACCATAAGAAACTGCCTCATGAGGGACAGTAACCTCTTTTTTGTACAGAGACATTGAAGAACAGAAGAATTAAATAGCTTAGGGACAAAGTAAAAAAGAGGAGCTCACCACCGGACTGGCCCGAGCAGAGCTGGCTCTTGAGGATGCCCGAGATCCTGAACCAAGGTAGCAGCTGTACTCGGAAGGCTGCCGCAGGTAAACCAAGAACAGCAAGCAGAGAAAAGAGAAAAGCATTAGAATTGAGAAGAGAAGCAAGGGAGGATTTAGAGCATTACACCCAAAGTTAGTTACAAAAATGGTTACATGCAGCTGGACAAAGGAATAGCAGTGTAAGTCAGAGAACAGACACCTCGACTGTTAATTTAAAAATCCAGGCAAGCAAAAATTCCAGTTGATGGATCAAGCAGAGTTTTGATTCAATTTTTAGCATGACAGAATACTAATGATTTATTTCTCTATCTTAAGATAACAGTCACAAGTAAACAACTCTCAGTCTCTACACAAAAGGCTGAATCCTACTACTCTTCAAGAGCTCTGAGGTCCTCTGGTGAGCCTTCTTCCCGTGTTTCCAACATTGTGCACATACAAGATCAACCTGTGCTCCACAGGCCAAAGCAAGAAACATCCATCTACATGATGATTAAAGTAAAAACTGAGACCATCTCAGAGACTCTCCTGCTTTTCTATGACCTGCAGTCCTCATTTCCTGCAAAGAAAGTATTTTAGTCCTTCTTAAAAAGCAAACATCTAAGCAGTGATGCAGAAGAGACAGGGCTGACTTGTTGCTGACAGGGACAAAGAATGTGTCTACACTGTTTTATTTCCAGAGGTTATAATATGATGGAAGTAGAGAAGGGAAATGAAAGTTGAAAAGAGTCAGGGAAACAGAACTAAAACTTACTCTGGAAATGCATTTTAGACTTATTCTTTCTATTTTCACAGATTTCAGAGTAGCAGCTTCACGTGTAATCTTGTATTTTGATGTACTTTATAGAAAGATACATAAGCAAACATATATAAAAGGGAGTTTTTAATTCAGCTCTGTTCTGAATGTACCAAAGAACTTTGAGGTTTACCGGACATGATTTTTTTTTCCTACTGCTAACCACCTCAAGGCAATTGTGAACATGTCCTTTCTAAAAAGGGTCCGTCAAATTTCACACGCTAAAGCTTGTACCGACGCAAGGGCAGAGGCAGTTGAGGGACAGGGACAAGCACGAGGAACTGCTCTTCTCAGCAGCTTAGACTACGCTGCTAATGACCTTTACGAGTTTATTTTATAGGTGCTTAAGACTGTTTCTCAGATACAAACCCACTGAAATCTGAAGAATTAATCTACTTTTGAGGTGTACGTAGTTTGTCTTTAAGGTTTCTTCTATTAAATTACCTGGGCACTCCAGGAATTCCCTGGACTCCTCAGCTACAGAGGCAGCCAGGTCTTCACCGAGCTATTGGAGGACTGTTTCAGCATTGTTAGCCACACTAACAAAGTAGCATAGTATTAAATGAAAATAAAGCTTAAAGTACTTATAAATAATAAGAGGGTAAGCTGGAAATAGCCTCAACTACAGTACAACCATAAACTTAGTTCCTAACCACAAAGCATTATGTTCCAAGGTACACAGCCCTCAGCAAGCCCCTGAGGCAGGGCAGAACGTGGCCAAGCCGTGTCCTCGGATGTCTTACATGCAGTGACACTGGCTTCATGCACCCAAACTGCTGAGCTTCAGAGTTCTGAATTTTGCGTGTTCTCTTCTGTGTTGAAAATACCTGTAAACTGTGCACAATCACAGCCACTTACATCAAACATCACTCTAAACTAAAACCAAAAATCATTCTAGTGAATATTGAGATTTTGTTTTCTTATGGAGTAGTTCGAGCACAGAAGCCTTGTGCCTTCACCGGTGTTTTATGCTTAACGTAACAAGGACGTAGCCTAAACTTGAAACACATGACGAGGCAAAAGTATTAAATGCTGATGAGTCTCCTATTAACGTTTCACAGGACTCATTTATTCTGTAGTTGCTCTCTGTGTATCGCAGGGCAGAACACGCAAGCGCCACTTGTTCAGCTGAGACCAGGCAAGGCCAGTTTCAGCCTCACCCCCTGCATTCACCTGTCATCTCATCATCCAAAAACATTCTTTGGGGACAGCTACCCAAATGGCACACCCTCTACATGTCAAAAGTGTTACGAGGTTCAGAGACATTAAAAAAACAGATAACTCGGTTAACTGTGACAAGATCATCCCCTTTGAAGCAAAAACATCATACTTCAACTCTCTCATTACTACAGGCGACCACGCAACCAAAACTGGAAAGGCTGGGTTATACACAGGATTCCGAATACCTGCGGCACAGGGATGGGATGGAGGAAGGGGAACAAGCACCAGCATTTTATTCAGTGTTCCCTGCTCAAACCATTAACAGTGGCTGGAAGTCTTGTAAACAGCATTTGGGCTCGGAGCCCACTGTAAATGATTTCTCCCAAGAGCAGAAGCATATCATCTGGACCTCCGAAAGACTTAAACAAATGAAGATATCCTGTGCAAACAAAAGGCTGCAACCAGCTCAGCACAGCCTCAGTGGCAAATCCACCAAATTGCAGGCTGCCACAACAGTCCCAACGGGTAAGTATCCATGAATTTTCCAAGGCAGCCAAATGAAAACAAGGCACAAATGTGAAACAAAACATAATCTGAAGCTCAACATCAGTAGCAGCAAGATACACAGCCCAACTAGTGAATCAGTGTGATTGCAAGGGGATGGAAGAGCCCTTCAAAGACTAACAAGAGCTTTAGTCGAAAGTTCGTTTCCTTCTCCAAACTAATAAAATTGTAACTTTTAATCTTTTAATGTTAAATCAACATGGATGCTTTGTCTTGAGGCTTTTTTCTGTTCAGGTCTGGGGTGGTGGTTTTTGGTTTGTTTGGGTTTTTGTTTGTTTGTTTGTTTGGGTTTGGTTTGTTGGTTTTGTTTTTTTTTTCTTTATAACCATCAAAGGAGTTCACAGACAGAATAAGCACTGAGTCCACAGACCAGAATCTAAAAATCAAAAAAGACTGTTTTTTTTCTTTTCCAGGCAGATAGAGCAGTGGCAGATGTACTGCCTGGCCCAAACACCCACCATGACACAGATGCCTCACCTCAGAAGATGTGAAGGTGTTTTCTGTCTTCCTATCCGTAAACTGAATCCTGCAGCTGCTCTTTTTGGAAAGGAAATGATTGATACTGTCATTCCTCATACTGTCTCTCCCCATAAATGACAGAGCCCTCCACTCACAGGAGCACGTATTTCAAAAAAGTTGTCGCAAGTTACAGAACAAAAAACCAAGAAACCAAACCAAGCCAGCCATACGTTCACAACAAGCAGCTAAGTGCTAATAGGGAAGTGATTCATTTCTTTATTTATTAAAAACACACACGTTTTATTCTCAATTTTCAAAATTAAGTCTCAGTGAGGGAAGGGACTTTCTATACCGTCTTTCCAAGGTGTTTTATCTGCAAACCAAGTGCAAGGCAGAGCTGAATTCCCCTGGCCACAAGGGGAAGTGTGTGCCCAGCGCCGGGCTCTGGCCAGAGCCAGCCGGCGCGAGGCCGGGCGTTAGGACAGCAGATAAATCACTGCTCGTTATTCCATGGAAGCTCAGGGAAACAGAGCTCGTTCTTTTGCCTACAGCAGCAGGCTGTGAATCTCACACAGTCCATCTTAAGAGCTCCTCAGCCCAGAAGAGGCTGTGTTCTGGTACACACAGGTTACTGGAGGACAGAGACAAGACAACGGGGAAATGCAGAAAACATCTTACAGCACGAGAACTAGAGGCACTATACCGACGGCTCCCACTGTAAACGCTCTCGTCACACACAGACGCCTACAATTAAAAGACAAGAGTCAGAACAGGTCCAGCAGACCGAGCTTCTGGTTTCAGTCTGGAGCATTACAGGTTCAGAAGGTGCAGCACAAGGGACGTAGGGGAACGAGCAGCATGTGCAAGGACAGGGACATCTCCTGTACGCAACCACAAGCAACATGCAAGTGAAGATCTAACACAACCTGAAGTCAGTGTGCTGGGAAACACCACAGGGCTCGTGCAAAGTCTGACTTTCTCCCCCAGCCCATCACACAGTCATGCGTTTCTAACTGTTCTCAACAGTTTATATTGCCTAACGACAAAATGGCTACATCAATTCTTAAGTTGTCCAAATCTGTTTAACCTTCATTTCTGGTGCTGGCAAAATACAGGGAAAAACTTGCACCTGATGAACTTCACTTACCAGCCACTTTACAAAATTAATAAAAGAGGGGGAAGATGCCTATTCTAGGGCTGGCTCCAGTTTAGCATATAAACATAGGGAGTAGGAAACGCTCCCTTTAAGCTTTGAGAAAAAAAAATAAAAAATTGAGAAGCTCATTTTAAAGTTGAAACAATAACAGTGGAATTTGGCTGCAAAGTTTTTCAACCAGATTTTTGTCAGCTGTTACACAACCAGAAAGAATTGATGTTGCCTGTCTCTCTCCTGCTCCTGCACGTTGCAGCTAACACCCAGATAAAGACAACCGTCCCCACCCAGAGAGAAGTCTGCTGCAGCATCACAACCCCACGAGCAGTGGTTGCATGGTTCCAGTGGGAATAAAAGGGAGGATCAGCAAATCCAGGAGTGTACAAACAACACTGCACACGTGCATTCAGATGGATCAGACAACGGAGCGTGAAATAAATGGACCCAACAGGAACTACAGAGGTAAGAGACAACATATGCATGGCTGAAGGTGAGTGGCTTCGGAATTTGTGTTTAGAGCATTAGTACAACAAACCCTGTAACTTCTGGCTGGCAGGGCATCGCTGTACAGCAAGGAGGGCTGAGGAAGACAAGCACAAAACTTTTTTGCATAGAAAATGAAACAGAAAAAGGCACCTAGAGCAGAATTAACCATCTTGATTAAGAGATCAGGATTATTAAACTACAACAGAAGGAAACCCAGTGTAGAGAATTAGTCATCTGCACCATAAAAGCATTAGAGCTCTACTCCCAAAGACTAAGAACACCAAGCAGACACGTGCATTTCCTACAGGAAGGGAGGACACAACAGTATGCAAAAGCGAAACAGCATAATTTAATTTTAGGTTGTGAAGTTGTTATTGTCTCACAGGCATTTGTGTGCAGCAGCCAGAAAGGGTGTTTCTCCTCACTTCAACCAAAGCCAGAAAAAAAACTACGTACAAAGACAGAAGTGGTTTAACATATAAATGTTACGTGTTGCACACAGCTATAAGATCAGCTCTTGCGTATTTTATTACAAAAACAAAAAAGCAGAGAAAACCCAAATAATTCAGGACAAAATTGTGAGCACTTAAGTCAGAGCACCATAAAACAAATTCCTTTGCCGTTAGTAACCGTCATTCCCAAGATGCAGCAATTCAGTTCAGAGAGCACATACTGTATCCGGTATAATTAGGTGCAAGAGATCCTCCAGCAGTGGCCCCCAGCCCCCAGCTTGCAGGCAACGTCCTGCTGCAAAGTCACCCCCCTCCTCCTCATCTGCAGCATCCCCATCTCCGGCCACCACAGAGCTCCAGGAGACAGCTCCGTGCCGCTGCCCACGGGGCAGGACAGGGTGGGCTGCGGACCACTGCCCAAGCTGGCTGTGCCCTGTCCACATGCAGAGGACAATCCAACCTCCTGGGTGATTCTGCAGCTTCAGCCATTTTCTTCTAGCAGTCTGTGAATGACTTCCTTGTAAAACCATTTTATGCGGACCGGGTTGTCTTAATCTCGCTGGACTGACACGGTCAGCAGAGAAGTTGTCTCAGAATAGAGAACTGCAGTTAATTAAGATTTCCCTTATTTTTTTCAGACCAGTTGAGGCCAGAAGCTAATTAAGTGTAGGAAAGGGAGGAGCAGCAAAGGAAAACTAATTGTGCTCAGTTTAAAACAGCTTTCTATTACTCACTCCAATCTTAAAAGATCTGTTTGGGTTTTGTTTTTCTTAAGTTTTACTAAAAGGAGCTACAGAGACTCTGACAATTGGTCCAGATTTGTTCCTAAATACAGGAGGTTGTTTTATCCAAATGAAGCCAGAACAACAAGTCCAGGCCAGCTAAAACCAGAGGGCAACAGACCCAGTTTCCATTTTGGGAAGAAGGTTGAGACGTGGAAGTATAGCCGCTGCTGTGAAGACCCAGATCAGAGTAGTACGAAGCCTGCATTAACAACAAACAACAAAACCCTTCAGAACTCAGCTTTGTCTAAATTCCTTTAACTGGGAAGCAAAATGTAGATTAGGTGATTGCAAACTGCAAGGAGTCAGAGTGGTCACCGATGCAAGAAGAGGAGGTAACTGCATTAAAGATATGAGGATGTGTGAAAATCCTTTCCATTTGTAAGATAGAGATTTTTTTAAATAAACACAAGGCCTTTCCTCTATCCCTACAGCATCTTAGGCACAAAATACTCCTTTGGTTTATTTTCCACCAAACAGGCTTCAAATCCTCATGTTCTCTCCTCCTCTCTCATCACTATGACCCAATGAGAGAGTATGCTGCAGGGACACAGTTTGTATGGGACGTAGAAGATGCTGGAACGTATTTTCGGAAGGGTGTATGCAGTTTGTGCACCTAAGTTTCATCCTAACTCTAGTTAAGTGAAGCTGTATTTATCAACATACTTCCAGCTTCTGTAAAGCAGAAGAGACAACACCTGTTTTCCAAGATGCTGGAGACATTATCTTCCAGGCTCAAGTTCAGAATAAATGGCTGCATCGCAGCTTCATACCTAAAAAAACCAGGCTCCTGCCTTAGAGGATTTATTTCTTTTCCTGTGCAGTCCCAATGCTGCAGACAATAGAGCTAATTTCCACTGCCCATCAAGCACTGGAAAAATACATTGGTGAGAGAGCTGGTCAGCTTCCTTCTGAATTCTTGAGGAGTTGATGCCCTAGGAGCTAAATCCACAAGAGATGAAGGAGAAGGTGTCAGGACAACAGAACAACTCTGCTGGGAGACAGAGAGCAAAGCCAGGGACCAAAACTGTCGGTGTGCCCATCAGGAAAAGTGGTCACAAAAATTTTTGGTCCATCTATTTGGTCTCCCCAAGAACGGGGAGATCTTAATTCAACTCCAAGTTAAATCCAAAAAGCCCCACTAGTAACAACTCCAGTGGACTTAACATCACCCTCACCCTCCAAAATCCTACCTTATTTATCTAGTGTGCTATACAACATCTCCATTGATTCCCCCAGCACCTGTACTGGGGTGCAGGATGCCAGCTCAGCTTTTCAGCTGTCACGTATTAAATCCGTGAGAATTTCTGCTGAACAAGCGCTACGACACAAAGCTGGCAAGTAGGGCTTGCAGGGTGCAGGAAGGCTGACAGCAGTAGGATATTTATAACATGGAGTGGAACTCAGTATTTCGGCTTCCCAAAAGCTTTAGGAGCACACGACAACATACTGTGAACAACTGAAGTTGTTATAAACACGGAGGGATATTTAGATTTCCAACTCAAGGTCTGTTTTCAATGCAGATTGGAAATCCGTACATTAAGCATTGTGCATCTCACAGAGCCAAAGGAATCAAGAAAAATACAGGCATACTAGGAAGACTTTATATTTTCCTTATTTTCAGGAAAACGGCAGCCTCTCTCTTTTTTTTGCTGTACTCCGGAGCTCTCCTTTTGCAGCCATTCCCTTAACATCCTCCTTCTCCAGTCATTTCTTCCAGGGGTCTAGACAACCAAGTGCATTCAGCAGTCAGCAACTACTCAGCTTTCTTACAAAGCCTGAACTAATCCTTGCGTCGTCGCTGGGAATTATGGAGGTGCTAGCTCCATGTGCAGATGATGGAGATCTGTGGCAAATTAAAGAAACTTGTTTGTTCTTGACACTGGACTTCTGTCACTGCAGGAAAACAGATGTGTGGATAAGACACAACACCCACAGGCATATACTGAGGATAAATCATTTTCCAGCCTCAAAAATTTAGATCCCTTTCTGTCTCATTCTTCCTGAATGCCTGTAAAAATATGACTTTCACTGAGAAGAAAACCGAATTGAGCTTAAAGAAATTACTTTCATTCCCTCCTAGGGAGTTTGTAATCTGCATGTGGACTACCTGGGCAAGTGGGATTATTCATTTTTAAGGAATCAACATGTGATACTCCAAGTACAGTGTACAAAGGCTGATCTCCTTGTGGACATCACTCCATTTTGCGACTTAAAATCAGACACCTCTTTTGAAAGCAACTATTTTACCAGCAGACTCATCACTTCCTTCCTGACCTGAAGAACTCTGCCTCTTCTCTGGTTGTTTTTTTGTTTTTTGGGTTTTTTTTTTGCCACTTTGGCAATCTTTATGTTAGATTTGGGGTTTTTGGAAGGAGTATTCCTAAAGGTGAACGCCAGCCAAGCTGTCATCAAATGGTTTGGAATTTCAGCTACTCTAAGTCACCCCCAAACTCTCAGCCTCCGTCTAAATAATGAAGTATGTGAACCACACTTAGTAATGAAAACAGCAAGTAACTAATGACATTGCCATAATTACGCTCTACGTACGCTCAGCCTCCATCCTAAGAACCCTAATACCAACATGATTTTAAATTATTTAAATGGAAACCAACCAACTTCTTTTCCCTGGATGACTTTCTTACAGATATTTTGCCCTTCCTGCAGTACTCGCAGCTCTGGAGTATGTCATGAAAGTCTAAGAACATCATTTGTCAGAAGCACTACAT